AGGAAAAGAGGTGAAAGAATTGGCAAGATCTTAATTATGCCCTCCTCCTATCTGTATCCACCAAACCAACCAATTGATAGTCAAGTATATTTTAAAAGTCACTTTACTAGAGGACCCATTAAATGCAGCTTTTTGGAAACTTAGAAAAATACCTGCAATGAACAAATTCCACATCCATGGGTTCCAAGTTGTAAGCTTGTTCAAAGTCTGCATTAAATTTAAGAGTAACATCTTCATTACATATCTGTTGCAAAAACAAAGTCGGTTTACTGACGAAGGTTCAACACAAAGAAGCATCTCTGAAAACACTGAACATCCTCCATCACCTCTGAAAAGAACACCTGGATTTACCTGCTGTCAACATATTGCATATCTACATTATGTTAAGAGTGCTTTCAGAGCAGGTAAGGATTATATTCTAGAAAGATTAGGAAGCTAAAAATCTTCAAAAATACAGTAAAAATAAAATCACCTCTCAGAATGTAGATAAAACAAATCTAGCTTCCCAAAAGTCAGGTTAAACTAGTCTGTAACTCCACAAATTGCCAGCTTCCCCTCTGAAACTTGTGGGCCACAGTATTTTCAAGGAGGACACACACAATTTACTTACCTCAGTAATATAGGCGACGTACTCTATTACATGCTCAGAGTAGACCTGACTTTTCAGTATCACCTTATCACCTAATTGTAAACAAAGCACATACTGTTACAAGGAATAGTAACATCTTTGCTGCAGCACTTAATTTCTTCTTCTTCTGCATGGTTAAACTGGGAACTTGCAGGATGCCAGATGTTAATGAACTTCTGTGAGTACCTGTTCTGAAATGCCATATGCAGCTGTATATCACATTTTAAAAGGCACCTAGTATTGATGCAATCAGACAACATCCCCCCAAAACAGTATCATGTAACATTTGAGATTCTGAATTGAATTTTAACTACCTTCCCACCTTTTGCTCTTGATACACCTATAGCCTTTTAAGTTAAGTTATTACTACATTGCACAGTTTATTTTTGCTGAAAGCTCCACCAGGTTTTGTATATGAAAAAACCTAAAGTATCGGAACATGTGTAAGAACAGACACATGCAACACTGCTTCAGACAGCAGCCACGGTACAGCTGACACGGAGACATTAAGTGCAGTTCACCTGTCTAGTACCCTAGATGAATAACTGTGTTCTGGTATGTAAAAGACTCCTTTAAACAAATCAATAAGCAGAGTTTGTACTACACTGAAAACAGTGATCAATGTGCTATTTGGCTTCATCTCACATTAACTGCTACCTGTAAACAGACGAGGTCTGCCCTCTTCCACTCCTGGCACTTCCAACACTAACAAGTTCCCTTGCCTTTTCAAAGTGACACCACTCATGCTGAAGTCCTTTATCTCTGTTTCTGCACAGATCTCTTCAAGCCACAAGAGAGTAGAAAAGTTCGCTTTGTAATTATCTAGATTAAGACGCTGAAAAACAAAACAGTATACATGATTGTTGTAACTTCTACACTAAGATATGAAACTCACTATTCTTAACTTCATACAAAACACCTCTTAAGACAGACTGCACGGCAACTGTGTTGCTAATTAAGGCACCTAAATACATGTATCTATACACTAGCTACTATTTAAAACTCCCCCAGTAGTCAAAGCAGAATTAGTAAAGTCCTTGGAGCCCAAATACAACTGCCAGTCGGCTAGAGGTAACAGAGTTTCTCCCTGCTACAATGGCAGTTTTAACATCTGAATGCAGGGGCAGCCTACAAACTGAAATCTATGCTCAGCAGTCCCAGAAAGCATAAAAATCTAAGCACACTGGGCAGAGATGGGTGAAGAGAGAGTCATGTTAGTCTTGGCCCTGGCTGATGATTATACAGCTTACGGCAAGCTGGAACAACCTGAGCTTTCAGAGCTTAGTGCATCTCACTGAAGAGAGCCTTGTGCTGTTGGAGAACACCAATCTAGACAAGGATGAACAGCACAGAATGCTTCGTTAGGTATCTTCTCACTCAGATACAAGGCGAACATGCAGCGTGTTCTGGAGAGGACTTAAAACAGTCACCCGTACAAGACAAATTAAGGTGTGGTTAAAAATAATCAAAAGGGATAGAAAGCACAGCTACATGATGCTGGTCTTGTGAAACAGCTCTGCCTTCACAGCAGCCAGACACTGCAGATTTTGTGGGCAACATCCCTCCCTTCAGCTGGGCTCCTGAAATGGAGCAGCACCCTCCACTGTGCAACTCAACTGGCTGAGGGGCAGGGAGACCAGTCCTGGCTCCAGAAAGAAAATCCCCAAAGAAACAGGCCTCTTTGCCAAGACTGGAGCATGAGGCTTGACCCTGGCTCTGCCACCCCGACTACAAGGGTGTCCAGCACCAAACGTTGGTTGTCACTGTGTAAAGATCACATTCCACCCGCATCTTTTAGGAACCAAAAGTGGAGAGATGCAGAAATCTGCCTGCTGTTGTCAGGGCTGCACCACAGCAGATCCCAGGATGCATCCCCCTCCACCAGCAGAGGTCCACAGGTCACAGAGAACTGTTTCAAATTATCGGGTGGCTTTTGCTACCGGCTGTGACAGGCAGGGCTGGATGAGCCTGCTACTGGAGCCGACTGTTTTTGGTAAGTCACACTTCTGTCCTGCTCTCATGCAATGGATTTAAATGTGAACGAAGCTGGTGTAGGTCAGACCAGTGACTGAATGTCTTCCCCTAAATATTTTTATGCAAGCTGGACTAAGCTTCAAAATTTTAATAATCTAAAACCCATTCCCATCAGGGTAGAACATCAGCAAATGTTGAAGACACTTTCACTGACAAGTACCAGACAGAACTTAAAGTGTGGTTAAAACACAGTCCCCCTTCATGGCAGGCTCTCAGTACAAAAGTATTTCAGATACTACAGTTTTATCTTCTTTTTGAGAGAGGAACCTGCTATCTTAATGCTGTGACCTCAGGATATGTGTCAGCTGTTTAGAAAGCAAATCACATAGCTTTTTACAGTTTTGAAAAATTAAATATCAGCCCCAGAGTGTAAGTCCTGAAAAAGTTAGAGGAGGGGAAAAGTGAGTTGCAGCAATGTTCTACCAGAAATGAGGACAAAGCTTTGCAGAAGGAATCACTGTAATATTCTTGTTAGACGTCAGGGTTATTTTATTTTTGGTACATATTCTGAAATTGCTGTACTTGTGGGAAGATTTTGAACAAGCCATAGTGAATTAAAGTTTGAGGACTTTTTAAAAGAAGTTTCAAACAACCAGAAAAGCATCCTTTGTTACTGCAATAACAAGAATTTCAGCTTTCATTTGCTATGAATCAACTGCTGGACTGCTGTTCTGACACCCCAGAAAACCCTTTCCAATGATGCCTACAAAGTGAGAATGAAGAGGAATCTTTGTTCAGCTTCTGTGATATCCCCTCCCCACCCCCAGTATTACTTCTACTCCCTTTTCAGTTTTTCACATTTTTCCTCTTGTAAGTTTGGATTCTCTGACATACTGAAACCCACAGAAGTTATGGGATACAGACCAAGTCTTAAGCATACAATATTACATCATCCTCTATTACACTAAGGGCTACACATTTTTGCTAAATCAAGGCCAGCTTGAACACACACACACACTTACATAAAATCTATTTTCTTATATAAAACCTACACTTGCATACCTCTGCTAGGAGAGGTTGAAAGGTCAGTATGTCTAACTTCTGCTCCACACACTTCCTTAACTCAACTGGTACGGTATAATGCGGGAGAAAGCTTGGCAACTGCTTTCTTTTATTTCTAAAACAAAAAAGATGTATGACATATCATTAAGCTTTCTCAAATGATATATGTGAAAAACAGATAATTTACATGCCACATCATCCAGGCTACAAAACCAAACCACACACCAGACCCAAAGATTCCTTCAAAGTGACAACTGAGATGTTTGCTGTACCAGTATGAAAGGTAAGTGTTCTAGTCACAGATTATATGAAAACATCGTGCACCTGCTTTTTCAGTCTAGGGATATTTTTGTAACTGAGCAAGTACTATAAAAGGAAGCTTATTTGCAAAAGGAGAAGCTCTGAATGAAAGGTGGGAAACATTTATCAGATAGACATGTCAAAAGGTGTTTGAGGAGTTATGAAGCTAACTCTCTCAGAAAACTATTTCTGATTTTCCATCTTTTCTCTTAGTAACATAATCGTTACTTGTAGATCACCATGCAACAGTGTTTTTCTTATCACCACATTACACAGTGGAAAGAGCTCCTGTTTGACAAATCTACAAAGAAATCAAGCAGTTCATTACTAAAACAACCTCTTCTATCAGTAATACCCACCATTACCTTGTTAACATCCATACACATGTACAGCCTCTCCCAGTTTCACATTCTGTCAGCATTACAGAACACATACAGCAATACCAAATAGTGCAGTATTAGGCAAGTGTTATTTTTTGCTCTAATTCACAGTACCTTCTGTATTTAGGAGCAACCACTGTAGTCTTCATTGGCTGAGATTCTGGAATAATTTTAGGCTTTTTTGGAGAAAATGTTTTCACAGGTGCTATTAGTAATTCTTCTTCATTTGTTACAGTGGCTTCAATATAGCGTCCAACAGTAAAATCAGAAAAACCAAGCAACAGGAGTTCTTTACTGTACCCAGGAATTCTTCAAGTAAACAGAAGTTATGTTCTTAAAACCATGTTCACACTTCATCTTCCCCAGCCATAAAGATTTTTTTTTGTAAATAATTACAAAAAAAGTAAAGATCTCAAAACCCCAATTTCATCAAAAGCTTGGGTAACGAGCTAAACCCCTCCCTCAACACGCTAGGTACAAAATTAATACTTCTCTCACAAGGAACATCTTGGAATTACTATTACAGGAAAAGATTAGCCAGACATTTCCAGAGAAGCCCGAAACATCCCTTCACTTTTTGCTGCAACAGCTTTGCTCCACCTTGCTTAGGGTTCAGTTTTCAGCAGCCTTAAAACCATAAACACATCAAGAGGAGAAAGTACGAAAGAATAGGGATCTTCTGTTTCTGAAAAACACACCTGATGTCTTTCCCCTATTGCTTCCCAAGTGTACCAGAGGGAACAGTTTCTTCAGACTGATTTCTCAGGAACTTAATACAAAAGATCTAACACACACAGTTTGCTCTGAAATCCCTTAATGAACTCATCCCAGACCTACCCAGAGACCAATTCTCTTGTCGGCACTAACTACATGGTCCAATAACTTATAGAATCATAGAATGGTTTGGGTTGGAAGGGACCTTAAAGACCATCTAGTTCCAACCCCCCTGCCATGGGCAGGGACACCTTGCACTAGACCAGGTTGCTCAAAGCCTCATCCAGCCTGGCCTTGAACACTTCCAGGGATGGGGCATCCACAACATCTCTGGGCAACCTGTTCCAGTGCCTCACCACCCTCTTCGTGAAGAATTTCTTCCTGATATCTAATCTAATCCTCCCTGTTTTCAATTTGTACCCATTACCTTTACTATCTTCCTGAAACAAAAGCACCCCAGAAGGATTCCTGCTTACTTTCTCTTTGGCAGGAATACACTTTTTAATGCCAACTAACACTACCTGCTCAGGTTAAAGCTAGTGCCTGTTTTTGTCTGGTACACGAACTCAGTGCAGACACCGAACTGTCCAGATTGATGGTGTTAAGTTTGCAGTCCCTATGGTCTCTTCAGTGGTCAGCAAGTACTTGTCAGGCTGCAGCCTCCCATGGAGTTTTGTGTAGATTGCTCTGTATTATTAGAAGATTCCCAAGACTTTGTGGCATTTACAGATTTACAGTAAAAGACAAATTGTTCTTTCTCCACAAAGGCAGGCCATGTCTGCAGCTTATCTTTCATACTGTAGCTGAATCATCCTCCTAAGAAAATTTCTACCCCTTGCCTCACTATTTAAAATGGTAACAGACATAGTGTGAAAGTTAACGTGGTGTTACTTTGATGAATGAAACCATTTGACCTTGTTTTCCCCTGTCCAGCTTTTAAAGTATGATCGTAAGAATCAATGGTTGTGGTACACAATGTTTGTAGAGCTACAGCTGGAAGTAACTGAAAAGTACACAAAAGTAAGCTTTCCAGCATGCGGTTCCTACTTGAATTCTGAGAGTTCACATAAAGGCACTTTTTATTCCTAACTGAACCCACAAAATACTTTGTATAGCAAAGTATTTTTGCTTTTCAAGGAGTTTCCAAGACCTGCAAACCACTTCCTGTAAAAGTTACACCTTCAAGGAAGTAAGCTTTTTTCATTTCAGCATATATAACCTGCATCTAATATCACAGAACATGGAAGCTTGAGATCAAGGCACGTAGCAACACGAATGTCATCAGGGTACTGAGACTGGAAGAAACAGACATAACACAGAAATTCCCAGGAAATCTGCATTAGCTCTAGTGATCATGAAGCAATGGCTTTCCTGAAAATAATATAACCAGCTGTAGGCATTATCTTCACCTTACTGTGGGGTGCTTTGTTTTTTTTGTGTTTTTTTTTTTTTTTTTTTTTTTTAAGAGAAGTTGTCTATTCCCATTGTATTTCTTCATTTACTACTAGCTTTCTCTTCTTATTTTCTACAAAAATCAGAATCAAGTAATAAAATGCAAACTACTTTCAAGGTCTAACATAGGTTTCCATGTAATTTGCTTATATGTACTAGCTTATCCTACACAAAGGAGAGAGCTGTGCCCAGAATAACGGAATGATTAAGTCAAATTTTAAGACTTGTTTCCATTGTATTGGGCAGAACCAATGGAAAAAAATACTTACACAGCTGTGCATATGATCACTATGAATGTTCTTCCACCTGGTGGTATGACAATCTCTCCAGTAATATTGGTGTGCTTTACTGGTTGTTCCACATCTTCTCTTTGCTCATTTTCTCCATTATGTAGATTTCCACTTTCCAGCAAGGAAAAGTTTTCTTTTGTCCTTGATGAATTTGTATCCCGAGAATTAATTCCTTCTATAGTAAACAGATTATAATAAATTCTGTTACCACAATTGCTATTGCTAGCATAAGCAAGTCTTCTCAAATAAAACTACAGGTCTTACTCAAATGTTAACACTTCACTGTACCTGGAATGACTCCATTCTTTATAACGAAAGTGTTATTCAATGACTCATATATTGTTCCTCCACTGTCATTATATGAATTAATTGCAGCTTTTGAGAGGTTTTCTTGATTTATTGGAAAAGATGACAGATGTGGTTCTGGACTGTTCTCACATTTTTGAGGAATCTGAAAGCTGAATTGCTTGTCTTTCACCCATCCAGCTAATCTGCAGCTGATTAAGGACTGTGGTACACTCCCTTTATTCCTAGAAGCAGTTATATAATTAATTGCATAGTTAATGTTCTTAGGAAACTTAATTCTACCTGAAGTTAAATGCAACTGTCTACAGCAGGTTAGTTCACCATTATTTCATAATCGCTATCAGAGAAAAATTGTGCTGCTGCTGCTAACTCATGAGGACTAGTACCTCTAAATGTTAACATTTCTAGGCCTTACCAACCACTATATGAAATACACAGTATTTCTGTATTCAAAAAAAAGGTATAGGAACTTAATATTTAGCATTGGGTAACTAACTCTTAGGAAAGAGCATATAGCAATAAATAGAGGGTTTTCAGGTGTGACTTCATTTCAGTCTCTGTGCCCAGATGTGAAAAACATCAAAAAAGGAAAGAGCAAACGATCAAAACAAAAACCCTCAAGGATACACCAACACAGTTCTTTACCATCCAAGTTAAAAAAGAGGAGTGAGAAATATAATCTAGTCTGCTTTTAATACATGAGTATGGAACAGTCCTCTTGTCCTAAGATTTTGAAGATGACAGTGTATCTGCAGCTTAATTAAAATACATTCACAAGTAAAAGCTTTTACCTCATTCCAGAAAGGATTTTATTAGGATTGAGAAGAGACATACGAGTGGGGACTCTCAAAGCACTATGTGCAAGATAAATGCTCAATAAAGAGACTACCCTGAAGACATTAAATTCAGTATGAAATTCTCTTTAATTTGGGGGTTTATTTGGGGGTTACATGAAGACCATAAACCACAAGGCTCAACTATGAGAGGCTTCTATATGAAAGATAGGTTTACAGACTATGGACTGATGGGAAGAAAGCTTAGAACAATCAGAAAGGCTCTTACTCTATCCAAATGATCATTCTTTCAGATTCTCCTTGCTTCAGAGTTCCAAAATTAGTCATTCTCGATACTTCCAAACCTTCTTTGTCTCTCATTAAGATTTCATAAGGCTCATCCAGACTGACACCATTAGAGTGAGATTGTCTGTAAAAATAATTTTAGCCAGCGCTTTGGAAACACAGATAAATTCAGCAAATATCTTTGATTCAGAACAACTTTAAGAATCTCTATACCAAAGCGGTCACAGTATTTACAAAGCAGGTGAGAAGGTTCACTTTCTCAGCTAGTCATACTTCCAAGACAATTGGATTATCTTTACTACTTGAAGCAGCAAATTAAAAACAACAAGGCTTTTGTCAGCATCACAATAAACTGGCATAAAACTTGGGATACAAGACTAAAACGCTTAAGAAGCTAGCTAGTCTTTGCTGAAGAGCTGAATCAATTGGTGACTGAAGCTGTTATGGATCTCTTTGGGAACTGAACCAAGACATGACAAAGATAAGCTCCTTACTAAGACTCCTGATTCGTACTGGAGCTTAAGAGAGAAAAATCATAGAATGGTTTGAGTTAGAAGGGACATTAAAGATCACCTAGTTCCAACCCCCCTGCCATGGGCAGGGACACCTTGCACTAGACCAGGTTGCTCAAAGCCTCATCCAGCCTGGCCTTGAACACTTCCAGGGATGGGGCATCCACAGCTTCTCTGGGCAACCTGTGCCAGTGCCTCACCACCCCCTCTGTCAAGAACTTCTTCCTGATATCCAATCTAAACCTCCCCACTTTCAATTTAAACCCATTACCCTTGTCCTGTCACTACAGGCCCTTGTAAAAAGTACCCCCCAGCTTCCTTGTTGGCCCCTTCAGGTACTGGAAGGCTGCAATAAGGTCTCCCCGGAGCCTTCTCTTCTCCAGGCTGAACCAGCCCAACTCTCTCAGCCTGTCCCCACAGCAGAGGTGCTCCAGCCCTCTGAGCATCTTTGTGGCCTCCTCTGGACTAACTCCAACCAGTCTCTATCCTTCTTATGTTGGGGGCCCCACAGCCGGAGGCAGTACTCCAGGTGTGGTCTCACAAGAGCATTCTCTCACAATCTAGAGAATATCTGGATTGGAAGTGTTTCAGCATGTACCCCAAACACTTACAACTTCTGCTTACTGCTACAGTATGAAAGCAGCAAACTGAAGAAAATTTAAAAAAGCATCCTTAAAAATGACTATCACACATACTACTGATGAAAAATGCCTATGAAACCAAAGTCGCATCCTCTTCCCTGAGACAGTGACCAGAGCTCTCCACTCTGTGTCTGCTACCTGTAGAAAACATTTAAAAAAATTGTTTCTATTCTACAATTAAGAAATGATTCAGCTAAAGAGGCATGAAACTAACTTTGAACTATTTCAATAATCTCACCAGTATTTACATACCCTACGTATTCCTTAGTTATCTAATAGAATAAAGGAGAAAATTACTGCAGCTGCTCTTTAGTAGTTACACCCATTTCCTAGCAAAGTCCACTAGATGTCTCCCACTGGACCTGAAGCTGCCTCAATTTTCTGATATGGTAGGAAGTACACTATAACTGAGAAGTCAGCCCTATGGTCTAGTTTTGTAACTTGGCTTTAGTACTGATTTTTTAATATAAAATTCATCATCAAAAATAGATCCAACTGACAAAATAAATGAACAAATTGTGCTGTTGCGCAAAGTGACTTAAAGATTTCAAACTTCACCTAGGTACAATTTAAATCTATTATATCTGTATCTCCAGTGAAAATGCCTTATTCCATTCTTCACAGCTCCTTTGAAGGTACATGGACTGCCCTTAGCTGTATTTTCTACAGTTCGAACAAGGCAAGTTCTCCCAAAGACTATGTTTGAGAGGCATCAGAATGAGCTTCGCGTTCTACTTTGGACTTTCCCATCGGTTGGCAGCTTATTTTCAGCCTGCAGAATCAGACTCTAATCTTGCCAAGGCCTTGTTAGCACCGAGAGTGACAGATTTTACATGTAATAGTCTTATTTATATGCATTTGGGCTTTTCAAATGACAGACACTGAAACTAACAAGTCAAACTCTGAATCTTGGCTGCAGAACTGCTCCTGACTAGTTGTTGCCCATTCTACATTTTTCTAGTTGATTACTTCACAAAACTTTGCTTCTTACCCACACTGAAGACCATCTACTTTTTCCAACCTTTCCTGAAATCTGTCCAGATCCTTCTCACATTGACAGATGTCATCTAAAGTGCCTGCAGAACCTCTCAGTTTGATATTTGCAAGCCCAATGAATCTCTGTTATTCAGATCATTAAACGACTGTTTAGGGCAGATACCTAAAAGAATCACTACAACTTAAGCAAAATGGATAAAAAACACCCATCCATTTTACATCGGTTTTGCTAAGAATGGTTTTCAAATGGTGAAGTCCTCACTAGAAGAACACAGATCAGAAGAAACAACATAAGAGCATGAGACTGGCATTTTTCTAACAAAATGCAAAAATTCTTCTTTGCCTAGCTCAGATACTACTGGTTTTCCTTCTCTAGTAAGCACAGATGAGCCCACCTTCTGGAAAAGGAAGAAAAAGCAAGGGCCAAACCATATCACACTCTGATCTTCCCAATGATCTATCATGCCTTTTAGTCAACAGTTTTCACAGTATCTCTCGCTTAATAGATGCAGCAAAATTTAAGCTGCATAATTAAAATTTATCTCTCGTTGTTCTGAAGTGGAAAGAGAATGAAAGAATGAATATTACCCATCCTGGCTGACTGGCACCAAGCAGAGAGCTCTCCAAATATAACACGACTGATTGCTCTCCACCACAACTGTGTTCACCAGGTCATGTGTACTAGGTGAATAACCATCCGGAAGTCTCAGTGAATCCAAAGTGAAAAATATACTCTCATCTACTGTACCACTTCTTCCACAGATGCTGGAAACGCGAACCTGTAAGTTTAATACCAAGTAACACGGGATAACATCTGCTCAAGCTAACAGGCATACCACCACTGCATTCTTTTTTCCCCACAACAGTCATTCTAGCATTAACAGAGCTGCATTCTGTCAAGTTTCCATTATTCATGGGAGGTAAGTGAACAGCTCTAACCTAGAATCACTGTGCTTCTCTTTAAATTTAAAAATGTAAAGATACACAAGTAGTTCAGATAAGCATTAGGTTCCACTTAAGTGCATACTATAATGCACATATTTTACTTAATCATGGTATTTATTAGTGTGACTTACCAAGTTATCTAATTTATACCACAGCACTAGTAGTCATCAGAGAAGAATTTTTTTCCTATGCTTGACATGCAAATATTATTCAATATATACAGCTAAGGCAAATAAAATAAACCATTAGCCTAATAAATACATTCTGAGAGGGAACAAATATTTTCATTAAAATAAAATAGAAGGGACAACAGTTGTTTTTAAGTCAAAACACTTGGATAAGCTGAAGTAACGATAATAAATTCCGCAGTCATTACTACTTAAAAAAGTGTGAAAATCTACATATCCTCATTAAACCCAGTGTAACTAAAAGAACTGTAAGTATCCAAATCAAGAACTGATAGCCAGTAAGTTACTCTTCCTGTTCTATTCAGTGTGTATACTTTTTCAAAGAGCTCTGGTGTTTTCAAAATAATCTGATAAATGGATGAGTTGATATGTTTTATCTTTGATTAAAGATGTGTTATAGAAGATCTATTTAGATTAGCAACTTAAAACCACCTTCAAAACCCCACTTCACACAAGATTCCTCTTGCCCAAAACCAACATGCAGAACACTTACCTTGTCTACTCGCTTATATCTCAAAGGCTTTACAGCAACTGCTTCACTGTTACACGTTGTTGGGTGAATAAAATACTTTGCTTGCACCCAGTCACCTTCCCAAGGGCTGAAATCTATGTAAAACAGAACATTTCTCAAGTTTAATTGCTACTGATGACATTTGCATTTCTCCACCACAGAACTAGTTTGAGTTAAATACAATAAACAGCCAGAAGAATACATTATTCAGATCCACTGAGTTCAAACTTCTCTTAGCAGTTCTTCCCCCAGAAAGTTAGGACAGGCTACATAAAAGATGCTAGTGGGAAAAGATAGTTACTTATATGTAACTTAGGGTCACATGACCACATGCATGCAAGTTACGCTCAGTGAGAATGAGCAGGTAGCTTTCTCCACCCAAACCCCAGGCTTGCTTCACTCCATATACACTATTAGAACTTATTTGGGATGTGGACTGTGAGTTTATCAGAAGTCATTTCTATTGTGCATATAAAAAAATTAAGGAAGAGCAAGCAAGAAAGCCCCTACACACCTTCACAGACATCTTCCATTGAAAAAAAAGTATTCTGATTAATATAGCCACCACCCTTACAGAGAGAGGTAATATTGCCAATTAATATCTTCATATTTAGTTCAGAAGCATCACAAGTAGGACTGGAGTCTCCCCAGGTATTCTGGATGGCATCTACCTATTAATACAAAAACACCCCAACATTCAAACAGCTGATACTTAGAATTATATATTAAACATATGTTCCTACAATAATATCAGAATTTCAGCTGCTTATGGAAGTCAAGCTTCTTATTAGACAATTCTATACTACCGTAGCTGTTCATTTTTGCACACAAAAGCCATGAGTAGTAAACAGTAACTTCTTTAAGTCTGCTGTTCGCTGCAACACTGACAACTACTATAATTACATGTTGATTTGTCAAATCATTTTCATGCTTCCCTTGCTTTTGGTGTACTGAAGAATTTTCTTCATACTGACAGTCACTTTGTTTCAGAAAGCTTACAAACTACATTGAGACATAAAAACCCAGTTAAGGGAAGTGATTATTTCCCTTTATTCAGCACTCTTAAGGCAACATCTGTAATACTGTCTGCAGTTGTAGCCTTCACAGTACAAATCAGACATCAAATAACTGGAAGAGTTAAGTGTAGAGCCACTGTGGTGCTGGGTGGGAATAATCATAGAATAATCACAGAATGGTTTGGGTTGGAAGGGACCTTAAAGATCATCTAGTTCCACCCCCCCTGCCATGGGCAGGGACACCTTCCACTAGACCAGGTTGCTCAAAGCCTCATCCAGCCTGGCCTTGAACACTTCCAGGGATGGGGCATCCACAGCTTCTCTGGGCAACCTGTTCCAGTGCTTCACCACCCTCTCCGTGAAGAACTTCTTCCTGATACCTAATCTAAACCTCCCCACAGTAGAGAAGCACAGTGCTGGAGCATTGGCCTGTGGAGAGGAGGCTGAGAGATAGGCTTGTCCAGCCTGGCTTCAGACAGACTCAGCAGCAGTCCCCACTACCTATCAGGAGGTCATCAGGAACACAGAGCCTTCACTGTTGGCATAAACTAAAAAAAACACCCTTCAGGCTGGATATAATGAAAAACGTTTTCACCACAAGGAGAGTCAAACATTGGAAGAAGATGCCCAAAGAGGCCATGCAGTCTCTCTCTGTCACTGGATGATGACCACAAACTGACCCTGCTTTGAGCAGGACACTGGGCTAGAGACCTCCTGAAGTCTGGTCCAATCTGAACTATACTACGATCCTAACTCCTACATGACTTATTTTGTTGAACATAATAAATATCATAATTTAAGACAGTAATAAACAGCCTATGTCTACCTCTAATCCAGAGTTTGCAAACATTACAGTTAATCTATATATAACTATTTATTTTTTAGTCCATATTGTTACATTGCATTGAAAGACCTATTATTAAATGGTATTCCTTTCAATGACAAACACTCACTTTAAAAAAAAAAAAAAAAAACAAAACACGAAACTTCTGTCTTGCTCCAGTCTGACAGACATATCTTCACATTCACCAAAAACATCTGAGAGCACCAAACTTTCTCCTAATCGACTTGTATGGCTTCATATGGATGGAAGGTGAATAAGCAATTACACTGTTCTAGAGAATGACCAGTAAATTTACCTTTCATGGAAGTTACATATGGAGTTATACCTGAAAGGAATTTGTAGACCTAAGGAAATGCTTTCAACACATGAAAGCACCTTAAACCTCTGAACATATATTTTCTTTTGATATTTCTCAACTTCATTTTCCTCTGCCAATAAGACTGTAAAGTTGTTCCTCATAATAGCTCAAAACGGCCTTCCTAGTACCACTGGTAGTAGCCTGGTGGAGCCTGCTACAGAACCTCTATAATTGTTTAGTGCAGAGTTTAAATAGACTTGATCTCAAATAAACTGGAATACAGACTTCTGAGCTAGGATCTTCCCAAAACATGAGGCAAGTAGCCCCAAACAGCTCCAAATTTATGTATTGTTTGCTAATTTAACATAGAAAAGAGATTCCTCAATCTGGAAACTCACACTCTTCTATCAGAACTTAGTGCTAAGATTACTAGATACATTAGAATACTCTGTCTAATCATTACCTTCCTATTACCTGAAACATGAACCCTGATGCTACTATGTTGGCTGATTACATTCTTCATAGATGGCATGACCTGATAAGACGCTTAATTATAAAACATCTATTTACTAGAAAAGTTAATTTTTAAACTAGTTACACTGATTTTTTTTCTGTACAAGCAGTTCAAGCTTTGGCTACAAGTTTTGGTCTGGGTGAGTTTATTAGATGAATTACACTAGTGCTGTACTTAAAAGTCTAGTGCAGCTAAGCCAAGCAGATAAAAGCCAAGAAGATGGGATCTGTACCATCCAGTTACCAACTGTTTCTGCACTGCTGTCAGTCTTCGAAGTGCCAGTCATATTTACATGATATCTAATTGAAGAAGGGCGACTTGACTCAGCTTCTCAGCTACATTATCACAGGCACCTGCCAGCTGAGCCTGTATGATTAAAACACCTACAGCAGTTTAAAGTTGCGACAGTGTATGATCAAGCTTGAAGTAGGTTTACAAATGAAATGTTCAGCAAGAAAGGTATTGAAATCTCTATTCTTATAACTCTCCATGACACTGGGTTGCTGATTTTTACAGTAGAAAGTTTTGAAATTTATGTTCTTACTCTTTCTGCACAGAGTTGAATAAACTTTCAGCCCTTCTTTTATTTTCTTATTCATTCATATAACAGTAACACAAAACTGCAGCTCAAAAAAGTTAATACACAGATATTTGAACCATATATGATTAATCAAATTCTGATGCAATTGTCTCACCCAAGAGTTTCATATTCACTATATCTAACCTATATTCAGAGATTCAGTGTTAAAAGAAAAAAATATTTAAAGGAGATGGAATAACATAATAATAAAAAACCAAAACAACTTATCCCCACTAGATGAAGGGCTGGCAGTTTCTCCTATTTTGTAGAATTCGGGAGGCTAAAAATACAGTAATTTCCAAAAAGAAAGTTTCAAGGGATTTACAGAGAAAGTGAGACTATGATTTATCTTCACGTCTTACCCTAATGGCCTTCAAGCCACCCGACGTTTTATCCTCTTCAACAGTGGCAGTAACTTCCTGTCCAACAGCCAGCAGCATGTTTTTTGTAACAGCATCCTTCGTGAAGACTATCATATCATCTATCATCCCATAATCATGGCAAAATCTGGTCACTACTCCTTGTACAGTTTTTACTTGTTTATCACCTGCATCCAGAGGGAAAGTGTTGACATACAAACAAATCACTTGTTTACAGAACCATGCAACAAGTAATCAATGCTACTACAAGTGCTATCCCTCCTATCAAAAAGTCATTCTCTTGTTCAAGTAAGTATTCCAACAGTTGCCAACTAATTAGTTTCACGTTTTCATCTTGAAGTATTATGGCAAGTTATGGTTTCTATCAATTAAGAAAGCTAGTTAAATACAAACAACATTGAAAAAACCCAAAACCCACCACTCTAAGCTGCATGAAAAAAAGACACAGAATATCTTGAGTTGGAAGACAACCTTAAGGATCATTGAGTCCCTGCTCCTCACAGGGCTACATAAAACTAAACCCCATGACTAAGGATGTTGTGCAGATGCTCCTTGAATTCTGACAGTCTCAGCGCCATGACGACTTGCCTGGGGACCCTGTTCTAGTGATCGACCACCCCCCTCAGTAAACAACCTTTTCCTTCATGTCCAACCTGAACGTCCCTGACCCAGCTTCACTCCATTTCCTTGTGTCCTATCATTGGTGCAGCAGAGAGAGATCAGCACATCCCCCTCTACTACCTCCCTTGAGGAAGCTGTAGACTCCAACGAGGTCACCCCTCAGCCTTCTCTTCTCCAAGGTGAAAAAAACAACATCAGCCGCTCCTCCTAAGTCTTGCCCTCAAGGCCTTTCACAATCTTGGTCGCCCTCCTCTGGCCACACTCTTAACAGTTTGATGTCCTTCATATACTGAGGTGCTCAAAACTGCACAGAGTACTCAAGGTGGGGCTGTTGCAGTGTAGAGTGGGACAATCGCCTGCCTCAACTGGCTAGCTATGCTGTGCTTGATGCAGCCCAGGGCACTGTTGGCCCCTTTTGCTGTCAAGGCACACTGTTAATGTGTTCAACTTGACAGCAGCCCAAACCCCTAAATCTTTTTCCACAGGGCCGCCCTCTAGCCTCTTGTCCCCCAGTTTATATGTATTACCATATAATCACAGAATAATTTAGGTTGGAAAAGCCCTTTTAGGTCATCAAGTCCAAGCTTTAACCTAGCACTGCCAAGTCTGCCACTAAGCCAACTACATGTCTTTTAAATACCTCCAGGGATGGTGACTCAAAAACCTCCCTGGGCAGCCTGTCCCAATGACTGACAACCCTTTCAGTGAAGTTTTTCCTCATATCCAATCTACACCTCCCATGGCAAAACTTGAAGCTGTTTCCTCTTGTCTTATCGCTTGTCACTTGGAAGAAGAGACCAAAACCCACCTCTCTGCAACCTTCTTTCAGGTAGTTGTAAAGAGCGATAAGGTCTCCCCTGAGCCTTCTCTTCTCCAGGCTAAACCACCCCACTTCCCTCAGCTGCTCCTCACAGGACTTGTGCTCCAGACCCTTCACTGGCTTTGTTGCCCTTCTCTGGACATGCTCCAGCACCTCAAAGTCCTTCTTGAAGTGAGAGGCCCAAAACCAAACACAGGATTCGAGGTGCAGCCTGCCCAGTACGGGGGGACAATCACTGCCCCAGTCCTGCTGGCCACTCTGTTCCTGATGCAGGCCAGGATGCCCTTGGCCTTCTTGGTCACCTGGGCACACTGCTGGCTCATATTCAGCTGGCTGTTGACCAACACACTGAGGTCCTTTTTCTCTGGGCAGCTTTTGTCCCTAAGTCTGTAGTGTTTCATGGTGATTGTGGCCTGAGTACAGGACCTGGCACTTGGCCTT